AGAGCCACAGGGAGACAGAGCCAGTAATCACAGCTCCTGGGGACCATGGCTGATGGTCCTGAGAGAGGGAGATCCAGGGAGAGCCAGGGCCAGCAGAAAAGCTGTTCTGAGACCAAGTGCCCACTACACCCTTGGAGTGACAAAACAAGAAAGACAAAATCATTGCATATAGATTCAGAGATAGGAGACACCTTGAATCACACAGCAAAGATGGTTTAGTTTGGCAAAGCCAATAAGTAGCAGGACATTAGCCCAGAAGCCACTCAGAGCCTGGGGATGAGACCAGTATTCTGTTTGCCTCCTTTGTTCTTATCTCTGTCTGACCTGGAGATTTCAGGCCCCCACGCCCAGGCAGAAACAAAAGCCACTTCCTCTGCTGAAGGATCTGGGGGAGGGATGAGGGTCTCCCCTCTCCAAACAGTCCCTGGTGTCCACAGAAGCCTCCATCGCAGACCAGGCTGTGACCCACAGCCCTTGCAGCCTTCCTGCCCCAACCACAAAACGGGACACTGAAGCCCAGCCAGGGCTGTAAGGGACCGAGCACTTCCTCTAAGAGGTGCTGACCTCTGAGAGGTCAGCAGTAGAGGTGCTGGCAGGAACAAGAGGAAGAGCCTTGAGGAGGAAGCAGGGCATGGGACTGCCAGCCGGCCTTGAGTCACCCGGCATTCCAGGACTGTGAAGTTTACCTGGGCACAGCCACCAGGAAGATGGGCTCTGGACACCACACCTAGAGCCCAAGGAGGGATTTCCCCAGAGCAGACGTGGCAGCAGCCAGGACAAGGCCACCAAGGTGGCAAGAAGCATGTTTACTCTCAGAGTGACTATCTTTACTCAGAGTAGCAGTCACAGAGCCTAGAAGTGAGTCCTGATACCCTAGGCCTCAGTTTCCCCATATGTCTGCCCTAATAGATTCAACTAGACAAGGGAACAAAAAGCTGGTAGGAGAGTGAGCTCCAGCCTGATACCACAACTCAGGACTCAGCCCTAAGGCTCAAGGGAAGCCCCATGCCTGCTAGGCCTGTGTTCCTGGTGGGGTCCCTGTGCTCATCACTTCTGGGATTGTGTTAGTGAGTGGTTGCCATGGATACTGGTCTCAGCTTCTTTGACAGCAAAGGACTCCCCCAGGGCAGGGCTCTGTCTCTCCTCACCAGCCCCCACAATGACGCTCAACTCCAGGTGCTGAGAGTGCCACAAGCTGGATCAAAGGGACAGGAACAGGTCTTGGGAAGGGCACAGGTGCTCTGAAGAAGTTGGGGAAGGATGTTGGTTATCAAATAGTCACTCATCAACCACAATTAGAGGCCGGCCCTTTTTGGCTGGGCCTGCTTCCAGGAGCCATCCTTGGAGGATGGGGAGCCCAGGGCAGAGGCTACTCTAGCTCCAGGAAGCAGAGCCAGAAAGGGAACTTTCCCCTGGGCCTGGAAACCACAGGTGTCTTTGTTCTCCTTTCCAGAATCTGCATGAGAGGGTGGAGGAAAGGCTCTGGACCAGGCTAACTCCATGTTATCCAACTGAACCAGTACTGTAGGAACAGAGGATGGGGGCCCAGCCGTCCTTCCCAAATCTGAGGCTGGCTGCCCTCAGGGGTTCCCATGGGCAGGAGAGCCCATTAATTACCTGGATCACAGGTGGCACTGGGAATGTTGGCACAGGGGCAGAAGCCACCGGTTCCCAGGACAGAGGCCAGCCCTGGTGCAGAAGGGAGGGGCTCGCACAAAGGTATCCCAAAGGACAGCCTGAAAGGACTGTCAGACAGGAAGAGAATGAGGAAGGACATACTGGTTAGGGGCACAGCTTGGGCCTCTGAAAGGGCAGGCAGCTGACAATCTGTGAAGCCTTCCCAGGTATCTGGCCTCCACCCAGGTGCCGTGGGTACATTCTCATTCATTCCATACCACCCGATGTGGAGGGAGAACATGGCCCACGAAGGCTCAGATGATGGCCGTATGGCTACACAACGGGCAAGCTGTAAACCAGTGCAGCTGGATACACACTTTGGCGGCGAAGACTCCAACACCACACGGTTTCTTCTGTGACCCCAGCCACTGTGAGTCTGAGTAGGCTGTGATGATTTGGAAGATGGTATGAAAGGAAATGCAAAATACCCCAGAATAGCAAAACAAATTTGTTGAACATGTCCTGTTAAATACAACTTATTATTTGGGGCTGAGAGTGCTTGAAGCATGAAGGCCTGAAGCATGAGGACCTAAGTTTTATCCTTGGAAGTGACCTCAGGCCACTGAGATGGTTGGAGAATAAGGGCCTTTGCTGTCAAGACTAACAACCTGAGTCCAATTCTCAGAACTCATGGTGGAAGGATAAAACCAATTCCTGTTAGTGTCCTCTGACCTCCACACCCACCCACACATAAAACTATTTACTTTTTTTTAAGTAAATAGTTTTTTTTTTTTTAAGTCAGGCTCAACAGCATGCGATTGTGCTCCTGTAGTCACAGGTGACTCCATAGCACTCATAGCCATTGAGAGACCCTGCCTCAAAGAACAGGGGACAGCTGTGAGGAGCCACACCTGAGGCTGACTCCTGGCTCCCACACCTACCCACATACATATATACATGTGCACACATACAAATAAAATAGATTACTTGCACCTGTTTCTTTTTTGTCTGAAAACCAGAAATTTTGGTCCTCCTCTGGACAGAACTGGCTATGCTATGAGAAAACAGAACTGTACAGGAACGATATAAAGAAAAGCAGAAGCTCCTGTGCCTTGATGAGGTTGCTGGGGCCAGACTGTGGAGTTCTTAGGGGCCGGTGGGCACAAACATCAAAAGTGCACACACAGCAGTGAGTCTGTGTGCCTGCCTCTGTCCCAGAAGGCCAGCAGGCAACAGGTGGACTCAGGTCCTGGCACAAGACCCTGAAAGCCGCAGCAGTCGCCATAGAGACGGTAAATATTCCTAAAAACTGAGCTCAGCGGCAGGGGGAGGGAAAGCCATCATTACGGAAGGGAGGTGGGCTTTTCCGGAGAGGAAATGATGCTGTGTTGGGGATGAGGTGGGGGCAGCGTGCACACTCACACCCTGAGCAGGACAGTGAGGGATGCACAGCTCAGGTGTGTGTGTCCAGAGCTTCCCAGGCCTTTCTACCCTGTGCCCTCCCTCACCGGTTCACCAGAAATCTGCTATCTCACTCTCCCACACTGATCTAAGCATTGGTGAAGGCAGATAAGCCCCCGCCCACTTGATCACACCTACCCCTCTCTGCCCCTGCCCATGGGCTCCTCTAGGAACCCCAGAAGCAGTAGTCTGAGGCCAGACTAAAACAAGTTGGAAAGCATAACCGCACTAAAGATCACATCAACACTTCCGACCTAAGAGAGAAGAGACCCAGGCCCAGCTGAAAGGGAGGAATAACACTGCCTTTGCTGATCAGCCCCTGGGCAGTCTTGGATAGAGCTGTCCACAGGCCTGAGTTCCCAGCTGGGGGGCCTGCTTCGCAAAGCGAAGGCCCCAGTGTTCTCTGGCTGGCTTTCACCAGGTGGCACCTAGAGGTCTCAGTCCCAGGCATTATCTTACCTGTGTGGTAGGTTGGCACACTTGAGGGTACACTATGCCCTTGCTCACCAGAGCAAGGGGAACAGTCTTTTGGGACAGCCAAAAATTGATGCCATTGGCACCTACTACAAGTTCACCCCCATGGAGGGACAGAGAGCCAAGGCTGAGAGGGTGTACAAGCAAAAGTGGAGGAGGGGCAATTTCTGCTCTCGCACTAGAGTTCTTTCCTTACACTTGACAGGAAACTGTTCAACACAGGAGAAGACTGAGGCTCAAAGATGATTCCCGGGTAGCCAGGTGGCACGCGGTTGTCAGGGCTCTCTTTTCCCAGTCATCCTTGAGTTTTCTTTAGCGTCTTGCAAAACATCCAAACCTCCTATCTCCTTTCCCCGTCCCTCTTCCCTCTCTCGTTAGGGTCTAGACTGTTGGGTCCCAAGACTTGCTCTCCTGTACAGGGAGCCCCAGAGGCCGACCTGGCCAGAGTCTTTTCCTTTCAAAGTGGCATTATCCTCAAGCAGGGCCAACTCTAGGACAAGTCCCTGCGTCTTGACCCCTGCAAAGACAGGGAGAGAAGCCAGCAGAATAGAATACCAGAGCCACAGCCACCTAAGAGACCCGGGGATCAATCAATTCACAAACGGAAACAGACCTAAACATAAGCTGAAACTGGCCCAAGGTCACACTTCAAGCACATTCAGGATAAAAACCCAGTTGTATCCATTTTAGTCCCAAACCTGGGACTGATTGGCAGAGATGCGCAAGGAGCATGAGGCAGCCTCTCTTTAGACCCCCGCCCCCAAGTCTATGCCCTGCCCCAGGCCCCAAGCGCCATGGAGCAGAAGGAGGCGTCTCCAGGCCTCAAGCCAGGGCCAGCTGCAAACCGCATCCTGGGTCCCCAGGCGGCGCGGACCCGCCCCGCCCCTCCCTCCGCTCCCGCAGGCCTGAGCCTTTGTCAGCCACGCGCTTACAAGCTCTCACACACACACACCCGCGCCGCCACGCGCGCGCACACTCGGGCTGCTTGGTGCACACCCGCAAGCGGCGCACACACTGGTCGCATGCATGCAGGGGGGTGGCGGAGGCCGAGAGGAAGGAAGGAACAGACGGGCCACACACGCACAGACGGCCTGGGCTAGGAGGAAGAGGAGGAGAGGCCCGGGAACCTGCCGCTGCGGAGGGAGGGGGCGCACAGGCGAGAAGGCAAGAGGGACAGAGATGAGACTTTGGGAGGACAACGGATGGGCCGTCAAGGGCTGGCGAGGACTCGCTGGCTGCTCCAGGGGTGGGAACTCCACCGGCCCCTGGCACGGGGAGCGTGGGGTGCTCTGGATTGGACCCGTGGAACACGAGAGCATCGCTTGAACAGAGGGTCCTTAGGGACTTTCCAGAAGGCTTGGATCTAGGGGGCTGGCAACCCAAAGCTCCCTAGGGCATCTGGGATGGAAGGGCCTCTGGTCCTCGGGCTGGATGGGGCATTTGCTCACCTGCCACAGTGTACCTGTCCAGGTAGTTGAGCACGTTGCCCAAGCTCAGGATGGCAGCGGCTGCCCCCCGCCCTCGGCCCAGGCTGGCGGGTTTGGGCTGCGGCGCGCCGGGGCCCTTGGCAGCGGCTGCGCAGCCCGGGGTGCTGGGGATGCTGGGGAGTCCGGACGGGACCCGCCTCACGCTGCCGGACAACGTCTGCACCTCTTCGTCGGCGGACACGACTCCAGCGCCCCCCGCACCCCGCGCCCCGCAGCAAGAGCTACCTCCGGCCCCTGGCTGCGCCCCCCGGCGCCGGCGCCGCCGCTCGGCGTCCGCCTCCTCCTCCTCCGCGCCGCCCGCCGCCGCCGAGGCGCATTCCAGGCACATCATGCCGGCCGGGGCCGGGGCGGCGGGGGGCGCGGGGGGCGCGAGGCCCGGCGCGGGCCCGGTCAGTGCGTGCGCGCGCCTCCGAGCCGCCGCTGCAGCATCCCGGCCCGGCCCGTCGGCTCCTGCGCTTGGGCTCCAGCCCCGGCTGCACCGCTGCTACTGTTCAGGCAGTCGGACGCGCGGCCGCCGCGGCTCTGACAGCTGCGGCCGGGCCCGCCCACCAGGCCCGCGCCCAATCACCTCCCGGCTCAAGCCACAGCCCCGCCCCGCACGTGCTGCCCCGGGGGGTGCGGGGGAGCCTGGCCGCAGAGCCCCACCCGCCTGACGGGGGCGCAAGGCACGCAGGAGCGGGGCCGCGGCGGACCTCTGGGGAGCACAGGGCCTTGCGGGGAGCTGCGGCGGCACCGGGTAGGGTTAGGTGAGGGAAGTAGGGTGCTCTAGACCCTCCTCAGCTTCCACCCTGTCCCTGGGAGAAGACTCCTGGCTGAGGCCGAGGGAGGCCCAGGGCTTGAGCTACGCATTTGAAGGAAAATGTCTCAGATGGTCAAAACAGGGGTACCTGTTGGAGGGCTGGTGGCTCCAGCAGCTACTCACCTGATTCCGTCAGTCTAGACAGGACTGCCTAAGAAACATGATTGGTGCACCCAGAGCGCAGACCTCATGAGGGGTACATTGCTCCCCTTTCCAGGCCACGACCTACCTACCGTGGGCCCGCTCCTGCGTGTGCACCCTGACCATATTCCTACCCCCACAGAGTGTAGCTGTGAGAACCAGGGCTCAGATTACGGCCCAAGAAAACCAGGAGGGCCAGGCATGGTGCCACCCCAGCACTTGGGAGGCAGAATCAGGACAGATCTTTTCTCAGACAAACTAGGGGGAAGAGAGGGAATGGAGCAGGAAAAGCCTATCCGAGGGTACCATCTCCCCAAAGCCTTTAGTGAAAGTCAGCAAGCTGGATCCTACCTCAGATCTGCTCTTATGTGTGGCTTAACACTGGACACAACCTCTACTATCTTTCTGGGTCTCTGTTTTGATTCAGGGGATCATGGGAAGGTGAGTCAGACAATCTAGAGACTTAGAGTTGGGAGAGGGCTTCTGCCGGCTCCGGAGAATGGCCCGGTAGCTCCTGTGTACAGAACCATCTTCCCACTCTGACCCAGACATGACGTGGGTCTGAGGAGCTCTCTTGCAGCTCTCGCTCATCGTCATTCATCTTTTCGGGGCTTTGATTAAAAATAAATCCATGCTGGCCATGGATGTACACTCTTGTAATTCCATCATTTGGGAGGCAGAGGCAGGTGGATCTCTGTGAGTTTAAGGCCAACTCTGAGGTTCCAGGCCAGCATGTCTCTAAATAAATAAACGTTAAAAAAGAAACCCAGTATAACATACATTCCCTAGTGTATGCCAGGCCCTTCGTTCAGATGAGAGAGAGAGGATTAATTCAGACCCTCGGAAATCTAGTGGTTTCTGTTTCACAGATTCCAGGTCACCAAAGTGACCCAACAGGAACAGACAACTAGTCAATGGTCTGATTGGCACTATCCAGAGCTCTGAAATCATCCTCTAGGCTGGGAGCCTCTGTGCTGTTGCTGGCTGCTTCAGGGCCCACGTCTACAACAGGAACATCTTGTGAAGGTGTTGGCCAGTGAGTCATGGCATAGCCAATGAATGACACAGCATGAGGCACGCGCACGCACACGCACACACACTCACACACACACACTCCTCTATCTCAGTGAGCAGAGTTAACCCCCAAGCTGGTGTTTCCTGGCGCCTTCAAGGTGTCTTTTAAATTCTGTGAAGTGACTAAAAATATGCTTCACTGTGTTGAGTATGAACGACTGTGACGGGGAAGGTTAGGAAAACAGATTCATTCTGAAAGTTGCCTGCTGCCTCTTTCCAGCTGGCTGAATTCTGGCTTGCAGAGTCAGTCGGGGGAGATTTTAATGGGTGGCCAGGGGTAACAGGTGATCAGCAGACAAGCGCAGACCCAGAAGCCCCGTGGGCCCCCACCATGATCGCCAGAGCTGTGGGAGTAGGCCAGCTACAGGACAGTGTCTGCCCCGGCTGCTGCCCACCTGTGCTTGTGAGGGAGGCGCACTCACGGCTTTGCATTCTACCCAGGCTGCATTTCCGGCGCAGGGAGGCAAGTTTTGGTCTTTGATCCACGGCCCTTCATCTCCACCCCTGGTTGAGTTCTAGAGCAGGGAAAGCAGATTTTGAGTCCTTCATATTTGGGGTGAGGGAAAACCCTGGTTTGAGACTTCTAACTTAAAGGCAGTTTCTGGAGTTGATCCTGGGTAAGATAACAGGCTTCTATCCATGGGCAGGGGGATAGAAACAACAATACGCCCATTCTGGCTAGGTGGTTGTGAGTGGGTGAGGACTTTGTTTGAACTCTTGGTAGTATTCCAAGACCATATAGGTCAGGGGGCTTCTGGGGTGTTTTTGTTTGGGGGCGGGTTGAAATAGAGTCTTGGCTGTCCAGGAACTCACTGGCTGGCCTTGAACTCATAAAGGTCTGCCTGTTTCTGCCTCCCAAGTGTTGGGATTAAGGCATGAGCCACCACATCCATCAGACTTGTGGGTTATTATTTCTGTCTCTGTGGTGAGAAAACTGAGAGGCTCCAGGGAAAGAAACAATCCACTCAAGGTCTGGCTACCACCTAAGCCAGTGCTTTCCTGGTCAGCCATCACTCTGCCCACAGTTTTCTGCAGGACTCTTTTCTTCTGGGCATGATGGGAATCAAAACTCAGCAATGGTTCCAGGACCTTCTGGTGTATATCCATTAGCTGCAGACTGTAAGTACTACACAAGAGCTGGCACACACCTATAATCCCAGAACCCAAGAAATTAAGGCTGGAGGATCACCAGTTCCAAGCCAGTGAGATCTACACAGTGAAACGTTGTCTCAACAACAAATTCCATAACAAGTAAGGCACAGAACATTAGGTGCAGTTACTCCAAGGATAACCATATTTGGGAAATGGTGGGGCAAACAGAGCTATTTCCCTATTGAGAGACCTCTCAGATCCTTTGCTATGAGCGTGCTGACTAAATTTATGTCAACTTAACACAAGCTACAGTCATTTTGGAAGAGGGAACCTCAACTGAGAAACTGCCCCCACTGAATTGGTATGTGGGCAAGCCTGTGGTACATTTTCTTGATAATGATTGATGTGGGAGAGCCCAGCCCACCATGGGTGGTGCATTCCTGGGCAGGTGGCCCTGGGTACAATAAGAGCACAGGTTGATCAAACCATAAAGGACAAGCCAGTGACAAGTGTTCCTCCATGGCCTCTGCTTCAGTTCCTTCCCCCAGGCTCCTGCCTTGAGTTCCTGCCTGGCTTCCTTTGGTGATGGTCTGTGATGTGCAAGTGTGAGTGAAATAAACCCTTTCTTCCCCGAGTTGCCTTTGGCCATGATGTTCTGTCACAGTAACAGAAACTCTAACCAGGACGAGTATGTACTTGTAAGTCTCCCAGAGGCAGGGAGAAGCTACCATATTTCCACAGAACACTTTGTAAGACTATGGCCCCACAGACCATTCTGTGAGAACCCTCGATGAGTTCCACCGAGGCTGATGATCTGGAGATCAGCTTCTCTCTCTCGCCTCTGCCATCTCCATGTGGTGGCATCTCCCTGGCTCAGGCTTCTCTTGTCACTTGCACACTCTCTGGCCAGGCTTCACATTGGTCCCTGTGATTGTTTGTGATACCTTGGTTTCCACCTCTAGACGGTCCTCACTGCCGAGCTCTGGCTTCACACAAAATCTATCTCCTATACATCCTCCTATCAATCCTACACTCACCTTAAGCTCAGCAGATGCCAAACGGAACTCGCAATCCTTCTCTCAAATCTGCTTCCTACTGTGGCATCATTTCTCTCCTGACCCACAGTAACACCAAGGAGAGTCATGTGGGCTATTTGTGGCTGTCTTACTTGAATCCCTTATTTAGATATAGCCTGTTGAGTCTCAATTTCAGTGTCCCCCACTGCTCACTGATATATCTCAGAACCCCCAGATGTCTTGCTTGGACTGCCTGCTCTCATATGTACCCCAGGCTTTCTCCCACGGTGATTGTTAGTAATTTGTAACCTCATCATGCCTGGCACAAAATCTCTCCACAGATTTCTCTGTGGCTTCATAACACTCTCCTGACCCAAGTGTTTCTGGCCTCAGAGCCTCTTACATATCTCCAGCATATTTTCTCATGGTAAAGCAGCTGAGAATCTCTTCCAAGGACACGGAGCTCCCTGACTTGACAGTCATATACTTCCTGGAGCCTGAGTGAGTGGCAAAAACTGGTTCATTTGTTTATAGTCCCTGTCCACCCTTCACCTGAAAAGCCCTTGGTCTGCTAAAGCAACGATGGTTCAGGACCACGGAGAGCGTCACATGCACACCCCCTCCCCTGGCCCTTTAGTTGGGCTCTGCCCATAGGCCTTCCAGACTAGCTCCTGTAGCTGGTCCTTCACAAATCCAGTTCAGGCTTCACTTCCTCCTTGGGGCTATATTGTAACGTATATCCCTCCATCATGTCAAACTCACTCTTCTGGTTGTATGCTTCCACCGCCACTCCAATCCCAAAAGACATGAGCCTCAAGGGCTCACCCCCTGTCTGATTCATCCTCATCATCCAGTGCAGAGGAGGTGCCTAGAGAATGTCTGCTGATTGAATAAGCAAATGGCATTTAGCAGGTGCAGGAAATATGTGTTGATTTGTATTGTATATCTGTCGCTCTGAGTGACTCAGAAACCAGCCAGATTTCAATCCTGGCGCCTCTAGAAAAGGCAATTTCTCCCTAATGACTTCATTCTCCGTGCTTGGAGCAGCTTTCCTGCAGGTCACCACCCTTTCTGGGGAGAAAGCACCCCTACTGCTATTGCCATGCTGAGGACTCACTGGAATGTCCTTACCCCCAGCCTGGGGCCTGCCACATGAGTTTTTCTCTGAACATTTCATCTCAGCCTCTCTTTTGCTCAGAACAGATGGCTCCAAATCCTCACTCACATAGAAGCTCGTGTTCCATCATTTGAACATTTGCTTTTTTTTGAGACAGGGTTTCTCTGAGTAGCTCTGGCTGTTCTGAAACTTTCTCTGTAGAGCAGGCTGGCCTCAAACTCAGAGCTCCACCTGCCTCTGCCTCCTGAGTGCTGGGATTAAAGGTGTGCATCACTAAGCACGGCTCATTTGAACATTTTTAACACTTTTGTAGGTGCTTCAGTCACTTTTGCTCATGGCCTGGCACCATCAGAAACAAATAGTCTCTGGAAGAGCACTGAGTGTAGCCTCTTCCTCACCTTGTGGAGAGGCCAGTGTCCTGCCCCCAAATTGTTACAGTAGATGCAGTCATTGTTTGAAGGTGTGTGTGTGTGTGTGTGTGTGTGTGTGTGTGTGTGAACTTACATTGTTTTTGCATTGGGAATCAAACTCAGGAGTGCTAGGAAGGCACTAACCCACACCCCTGGCCATTTGGTTTTGATGATCAGAATTAATTCATTTCTCTTCCTAGCAGCTCTCATGGCTTTCTGGTCTTAATAGAACTATGAATCAAGGCACAGGCAGAGGATCCAAGCTAACCCAACCTGACTCTTATGCCTAGGGCATTAAATCTTGAGTAAGTGGGAAAAGAATAGGGAAAGATGTCTGGAACTCTGAAAAATTAAAAGATAAGATAAAAAAGAATTCTGGCTCTTCAGCCTTCCCACCAATTCTGTGAGCTCCTCCTACACTGCCTCCTTAGGTAGTCAATCCATCTCTTTTTGCATTCAACTTCATAACTAAAACTGATACGGCCACCCAGAGGAGCCAGAGCAAACACATCCTCTTGACATTGGGTTAAATCAGAGCTTCAACAGGTGCTAGTTCTTCTTGTCAGACTCTCTGATAAAGCCTTCTGAGCTCTACCTCGCAAGCCCACCCAGACACAGGAGAAAGTCACCCACTTCAAGGGATGGAACAGACAGGTCAGTGCTAGCTGCAGGGGAAAAGGCAGGGCTGAGGTGCAGGGGCTTAGCACAAGCTCGGCTCTCCAGGGCATAAAGACAGAGTAGAAGGAAAGCTTTCATCACCGGGCTACAAGCACCCCTGCCATGGTCTTACTCCAACCTAGAGAACAAGCTGCTTTCCTGGGCACAGGCAGACACATCTTCCTGTCAAGATGTCTCCTGGATGCTGAGTCATTAACACATGAAGTGAGCAAGGTTGGGCTTGGGAACTCATCTTGCTGAATAGCATTTTCACTCCTGTTGACATTCCTAACAAACAAGTCCAGAGTGTCAATAACCAGAATTACTCAACAAGCGCCCTTCAGGCGATAAAGATGTCCTCTGTTTACTAGGCTCCTCTACTCTTTGTAGTGAGGCACTGGGGGCCTCTCAAAGACTTGCACCTGTGACCTCATCTACTGGGACTGAGCCTCAGAGGCAGGAGGTAGGACCTGAGGGAAGCCGGGGTCTGGGTTGGCTGTAGATGAGGTGTGGCCTTGTCCTTCCAGGGTCAGTCCCAGAACTCTGGCACTCCCCAAACTCGTTTAGAAAACAAAATCCTTTAAATCCTCAGCTGAGTCTCATTGAGTCCTGGGAACTCAAATTTCAGAGTTCACTATAAGAAGTGACCCCAGACTAGGGATAAAAACTACAGCACTGTGGCAAGCACCCGAGGCCCCTGCTCCCGGCCAGTCCTGCCTCCTCTTCCCACCAGCGCATGCACACCTCCTCTTTGGCCACACCCTTCTGCCCTGTTCCCTCCTCTCTAGTTCTGTGCCCCTGCCTAGGGTTTTCTTCCTCCACATCTCTTGTCCTTGCCAATCCCAAAGCCACCTCTAGAAGATTTCTGAGCCATGTGATCCCTTTTTCTCATAGGAAGTATGTCTCCCTTGGTTTAGCCCGTATATTTCCTGTCCTGCTTTGGGCTGTGAGATCCAAGGGCAGGCTGGCATCTGTTTACTGCCCATACCTTGATGGGACCTGCTGACATCAATCAATGTTTGCAGCCTTGGCACAAAGGGCATTTCTGGCCTCTCTCCGGCCACCTTACTCTGCCCACTGTCTGGAAGCTTCACAGCTACCTGGGTGCTAGGTTCTGACCCTGAAGCCAGCCTGTGGGAATCACATGGAGCCTGGACTAGAAAGTGACATTTAGTGCCTCTTACATAGAACTGTGGTGTCTGCAGCTGAGAGAGAGAGGCAGGGGAGAGCCCTGATCCTCTAGCTAGTGAATACGGAGAGCGAGAATGGCTGACTCCTTCTCAAAGACTTATGCTCTCCTTGCCAGCCCATTTCTTTAGTTTCAGGGTTGTGGCTTCCGGAGCTCCAGATGCCAACTCATGGATTGGGCTCTTTTCCTGGAGATGTCTGTTCCAGAGAGAACTGAGCTGAGGTAAGGTGTAGGCTGAGCTAGTAAACCTAGCTCCAGGAACCTGTCACAGCCAACTAGGGACAAGGAGAAGCCCTAAGAGGCAGGAGAAGAATGCAAGGGCCAAGAACTGTGTTGAATGCCGGGCCACTGTTTTGCCCACAGATGCTGGGAGGCAGGCACGGCCTGGCACAGCAGAGGTGGCAATGAGTGAGTGAGTGATTGCCTGGCTGGGATCCGTGGGAGGGGACAGAAACTGGGGCCATAGACAGAAAGAACACGCCTCCCTGCTGCTGCCTGCCTGGAGACGGTTAATCTCCTGCAGGGCCCATTGAGCCCAGCTGCTCAGAACCCAGTGCCAAGCATGGGCCCCACAGAACCAGCCCTCCCCGTGGAGATGCTGGGGTCAAAGCCTATGCTGGAGAGAAGAGGGCTACTTCCAGGACTATGTGTGAACAGTCATGTGAGCTGCTCTGCATGTGGCTTGGAGGCCGCTCCCTCCGCAATTTGCATAAGCTTGAGGGGATACACCCCCGCACCAGCAGCCACAGGGAACCTACCACCAAGACCACCTCTCACTCAGATGATGAATTCTCACAGAGGGTTATTTTGTTTCTCCCGTGCCTTTTCAAACAGGAGAAACTGGGTCTGAGTGAGAAGCTAACAGGGTGCGTGGTGTGTGTGTGTGTGTGTGTGTGTGTGTGTGTGTGTGTGTGTGTGTGACACCCAGACACCAAAGCTGAGCAACTCCCTCAGGGTCCCCAAAGGCCACCATGAATCCTTGGCCTGACCTGCTCACCTCTTCTCCTCCTTCCTGCAGAGGCTTCACAAAGCTATAAATAATGAGATGGTCTAAGAAACTCTGAAATCTGAGGGCTTTGCACTGGCCATGCTTTAATAAGGGCCTGGCCTCCCTGCTGGGTGCAGACACAGGGATCAGCCTCCCAGGAGGGTGGTGACAGCTCAATCCAGCCAGCTCCTGGGCCCTGGCAGCTCCCCAGCCGGGACTGAACAAGTGGCAAGTAAGCTTAGCTGGAGCCCCTGAGTCACAGCCAAGATGGGAGGCCACCAGGAGGATGTAGGTAGGATGGAGCCTGCTCACTGCAGGACCGGGACTCGGGCCTCCTCTGCTGGGGTGCTGGTCCCAGAGAGCAGGTATTGGCTCTCATTGCTCCTGCTGGCTACGTCCTTGTCCAGGGTTCCTGCAGAAGGCAGAAAGATGATCAGCCAGCCCAAAGGAGGCAGAAGAGGCTTGGAGACCAGGCCTGGGGACAATCTCTTAACAAATGCTTGAGGTTCCGTTTGCATAATAAATCCCAAATCAGTCCTCTTTAGTGCCACCACTGTGGACTTGGCTCCTCTGGTAAGTGTCCAGAGCTTTCGGAGACCTCTCTGCCCCAAGTCCGGCACCCTGAATTCTGTTCTCAATTCAACAGCCCTGGGGACGAAAGGTCATCAGGACCTCCCCTCTGGAAACTCACAGTGCCTCCCACCTCACTCTCAGGGAAGGCCACAGTCTGTCCAAGGATTTCCTCTGTGCTCTGCTTCCCTCCCTCCCCCTATCACCCCCTCACTCGGGCTACAGTCTCACTGGCCACCTTGCCAGTCCTCAACACAACACACCAGGCACATTCCCATCACTGGCACTAGCTGGTCTCGCCTCCTAGAGTCCCTTCCAAGAGACTGAGTCCTGGATCACCCCTTTTCCTCTTTGCTCCTTCACTTCAATGTTACCACTGCAATGAGAACCGTCTGTCCTTGTCAACCCTTTTCCCTGTCTTTTGTCTTTACAGTAGCACTTACATTACCCTTTTTCTGTTTCTGATCTGTAGCCACTAAAGCGTCAGCTTCATGAGGGCTCAGACTTGGCCTAATTCTGTCTCTCTCTGACAGCTGCTACCTTGCCTGGCATAGGGCAGGGCCATAAGAAATGCTCCAGAATGAGCCATCCAGAAGCAGAGGCAGCCACTCCCAGTCCAGAAACGTTCAACCTGGAGCCTAGCCAGGGGATGAGGAGTGGGAGCACCTTTACCAGATCGCCTGGCCCGGGCCTGGTCTCCTTCCAGGTGCAGTGCAGTCAGCAGGAAGCAGCCGCCACCCAGTATGATGGCGAAGGCACAGCACAGCAGGCTGTGTTGCAGACCAAGGAAGCGCTGCAGGTAGGAGTTGGGGCGCTCAGCCTGCAGGACACTGGAGATCTGCCATGAAAAGAGGGGTGTTTGTCAGGCCCACCAGGTGGCCCCAGGACCTTGTCAAGAACAGCACCTCCCAAGTTCCTCCCCGCTGCACACACTCAGACACTCCTTACAAGTCCAGTGAGGTAGGGGCTGCCAGCATCTCCCAGGATGTGGGCCACTGTGATCTGGAGCGCCTCTGCTGTGCCCCGGCACCTGGGCACCACTACTGACTGCAAAACACAGGCACCCAGAGGTAAACTTCCCAGCCGGGGAAGAAGGGGAGCCGCTCCCCCTCCTCCTGTGTGCCCCTGCCCAGAGGGAGGGATTACCGACTTCCAAGACCCGAGTCCCACTCCAGGACTCAGGCCCCCAAGGCCCAGACACCTCCCCCGGACAGGCATAGTGGGGAAGGAGAGTTTACAGTTGAGCTGGCAGGACCTGCGGGGCTAGGACCACAGTGGTAGGGCAGTATCTCAGTTTCGGGCTCCAGAGATCAGTTCAGGTAAGTGTGCCCAGTGCAGGGCAGCTGTGCCAGGGAAGCTCACACAGCTCCATGCAAGAAGGCAAGGCCATCAAGAACGTGGCTTCTGGAGTCAGACAGTCTGGGGTCCACTCCTGATCCCTACCCATTAGCTGTGCATCTCTGGGCAAGTCGCTTCAGCGTTTCCTGTCTCCTCTCTAAATGGGATAATGATAGTGCCCACCTTGAGAGCTGTGCTCAGTGTCATTCAGTTATACTCAGACGCTTCTCGTGAACATCTGTCCTGCTAGCAGAATGCTCTGGGTGTGTGTGCTTCCTGCCTGGAAGGTCTGCCCTCACTGAGCCAACAGGGGAAGCACTATTTATCACTTATGACTTACCCTTATGTCATCTCCTCTGTTAAGTCCTCTCAGGTGCAGGGGCCTGCCTTTACACCACACACACACACACACACACACACACACACACACACACATACACGCACCACATTTAAATGAGTGTATGCCTCCTGGAACTGAAAGGGGTCCTTTCTTGAGCCATTTTCTTATCTTTCATTAATAGCAAAACCCCTAATTTCTCCTGTGTTTCTGGAGTACTACAATACATTAGGAACAGGGGGCCTAGTGAAAATCTGCTAACCAAGTCAGCCAAGCAGCCCATTCTGGAAGACTAGTCTCAGAGCTACTCCGCACTGTGGCAGCCACCGAGGAGATGGTTGTTCTTGAGTCCGGTCCCCAAGACCTCAGGGGACCGGACTCAATAATAATAATAATAATAATAATAATAATAATAATAATAATAATAATAATAGCATTTAATGACTGCTTCCTGCATGTGCTTTTATATATCCACTCCAACAAGTCATAAAAGAGATACGATTATTTCCTGCATTTTATATATAGGAAAACCTTCACAGAGCAAGTAATTAAATTGCCCAGAGCAGCCCAGCCAGGAAGCAGCAAGGCCCAGCCTGGATGGCAGACTCTCTCCTCGGAGGGACTGGCCTCCTGACCCCTGACCCTCTGCTGTTAGGAGCGAGGGGAGCTGGCATTTTCAGCCATGTTGATGTGTTCATTACTCAGCATCTGAAGGTGGACAGTGAGGCTAAGAAGACAGAGCAGGTTCTGGTGACTCACGCCTTTCGCCCCAGCACTTAGGCACAGGCAGGTGGATCTCTGTGTGTTGGTCTACACAGTGAGTTCTCTGACAGCCAGGGCTATATAGTGAGAGCCTGTCTCAAGAGAAAGAAAAGAAAGAAAGAGAAAGAGAATAAAGACCATGGAGATGGTACACGCTTTTAATCCCAGCACTTGGGAGGCAGAGTCAAGCAGACCTCTGAGTTTGAGGTCAGCCTGGTCTGCAGAGTGAGTTTCAGGACAGCCAGGGCTACTGTCTTGAAAAACAAAAGGCTCCTCAGTGGTCTTGCCTATGGGCAGGAGAATCAGTGTATTACAGAGAGGGGTCAAAGGTGACATAGGAAGGTAGAAACCCAAAATTATGACTCTGGATTCCAGAACCCTACCAGGCAGACACAGGAGGTCAGCTGAAAAGGGGGTCATGGGTGGGTGGGGCAGAGCTGGGGAGCCACTATGGGCAGTCACATGGTATGCAGGAGGTCACTGGGGCCAAGGTTCTCTCCCCACATGGTAGGGAAGCTGGGCACCTTGCCACCTCCAGGACCTGCCAGCACTGGAGGAGGACCTGACCACAGCTCTGCACCTTCTCAGGATTTCCTTCTCACCCCATAATTATGTGATTAGTCATTGGTGGTTCTGGGGAGACAGGCTCAGCTTTGGCTTCCTAAACAGAGGCCTCAAGGATCCACACAGGTCCGCTTTGGGCTGGGGCTGCAAGGTAAGGTCCCTGCAAGCTCACTCTATATCTTTTCGGTACAGGGAGACATACCTGCTTCCTCTGGTGCCTACAGCTCTGCAAAGGCTGGGCCTAGCAGCACCTGGCAGGCCGGAGGGTGGGTAATTTTGAAAATGAGTGGCTTTGGGTTTCCAACATTCCAGGTTCACCAGCTTCTGAGACAAAAACACCTGTGTTGACTCTCCCTTCTCAGAAAAGCAGTTCCCTTTATAGCTGGGGGCGATTGAGGTGCAGCCAGCCACCACCTTATGGGAAGCCGGAGAGACAATCTCTACAGACAGATTTCCTGGCAGCTTGCCCTCTGTGCTCCCCAACTCAACCCCTGTGGCCAGACACCCCTGAGGAGTGGTGGTATTGCTGATCCTCGAACATCCTTCTGCTCGGGGCTGGGAGGAAGAGAGAGCCAAGGAAGACCAGCCTGGGTGGGCAGCTGGAGGCTCCTGGAGCAGATTCAGGGACACAGAGAGACACCTTCTTGGTCTTTCCAGGAGAAAAAAAAAAAATGCCTAAGGCACAATCAAGCCAGCAGGAGATGTATGGGGAGGGTGTGGGGAGTAAGCTCCTCATGAGGATGCGTGAATGAGGAGAGGAAGAAGTTTGGAAGGAACCTGTAGGCTGGAGCGATGACTGCAAACCCATAAGCTGTGCTGGAGACTGCTGGGTCTGGCCTCTGTGGGAGGTCCACTGGCAGTGCGGCTCCAGGACCCACTCTCCACCCACCCAGTCAGGCGCTGAGGATGAGAGCCCACGGTCAGTGGCCAGCTCCTCCAAGTTGGCTCAGGAAGAAGGAAGTGTGAGAGCCCATTGGAGCAGGCATCCCTTGGCAGGCCTCTCATCTGAGAGACTCGGTTCTCCCAGGTGGAGAAAGCAGTGTGCTGAGCAGGGCTGCTGGGGACTGGGTCCGCCTCCTCAGGGACACAAATGGCACAGGCTTAGCTCCTTGCTTGCTTACGGCCTGGGGCACAGTCAGGGATAGCTACTTCTCCATCTATTGTACATTTGAGCTAAGTGAGAGGTCAATGGGTTGGCCAAGACCTCTATCTCAGCTGGTGGGTGGCGGAGATAGGTATAAAGAGCAGATTTCTAGAATGCCCCCAAGTTCTGTTATCCATTCTCTCCCCTCTCACCTACACTCAGGCTCCAGCTCCCCAAGAACACACAGTCTCTCTACCTGTTTCCTTTTAGACCTCTTGGCTCTCTCTCTCGATTGAGAGCAGACTCCCGCTGCAATACCCTCACAGCAACCCAAAGAGAAGTTCAGCTGCCGCTTAGGAGCCAGTACAGCATCCCTTCCACCACTTCCTGCAAACCTGTCCCCACATAAGTTCGTCCCCTGTCCTGTTTCCTCTATGGGACCCCAGTCTCCAAACCTGTCCCCTGCAGCTTGGCTTTCTGCCAAGTGTGCAGTGTACTCCTGTAAATTTATACCCCTACACTGGACAGAGAGCCCCTTCTAGGCCCTGAAACCATGCCTCCTGAGCCCAGTCCTGGTTTTCTGCCAGAAAGCTAGAAAAATGGGAGCTGAAAAGGTTTCACTCCTATCACCCCCGACCCTGTTTAATATAGAAAGATCATTGTGGGCCATGGGCTTAGAGCAAAAGAGAAGGCAGAGAAAAGAGCATGGAGCTGGCTAGAGCAGAAGCCTCCAAGCCGTGAAGGGCTTGGAGAGTTGTCGGCTGGGCTGCATGTGGTCAGCCCCCCACCCCCAGAGTCCAGATTCTAGCTCGGCCCCAGAACTACCCTTTTCCTCCTTCCCAGTTGTGGGCACACTCCTCTTCAGCCCTACAAAGTGCCTGGCTCTGCCAGGTTAATGATTCCAGCAGAAATAGACTTAGCGATGCCATGCAGCCTTCACATATCTTCTGAGCTGTCATGTGGAAAAGAGATCCCAGCTGGGGGTGAGCAGAGGAAGCTGTGGGGGGTGGGTTCAGTACCACTTGAATCGCCTGAGAGGGGATGAGCTATGTGGAGGGTGGATGTTCCCTCAGGCGGCCTCATCCACCCCACTAGGCAGGTAATAATTAGACTTTTCTATGGGCAAGGGAACTGAGGCCCAGGGCCATTTGCCAGGTCTGTGGTTGAGTCTGTGCTGGAGCCCCAGTCTCCAGTGCAGAGGAAAGGGCAGGGAAGGTTGGCCATTTCTGCAGCTGATATGTTCGCTAGAGCCAAAGACAGGGCTGAGCCTGGGCCATAGTAGGCAGTGAGCATCCTATTAACATAGTGTTCAAGCAGCCCTTGCTGTCTGATTAAATGACATTCTAAACTCAGATTCTAGGACCCCAAGACCACTTTAGGAGACAGAAGAGCCATGGAAGCCTCAGGGCCACAATCCCACCCATTAACCCCTGTGCCTGATACTGGGCTAAACTTTCTACATGTCATCTTTCCCTCCACTCTCACAACAATGGTGCTAACATTCTATCCCCATTTTTCTTATCAGGAAACCAAACAACCTGCCTGAAGTCACATGGCTAGTGAGTGACAAAGGGCAGGTGGAGGGCGGCTGAAGCCAAGGTCTGTCTCAGGAGTGAGTGGCAAAGGGCAGGTGGAGAGCTGAGGCCCAGGTCTGTCTGGAAGGGGTTCCAGCCTGAGATCCTCCACCAGACAGCTTTCTACCTGTGGCCAGGCCTCCCAGAACCCTCTCCCCTGTGCTAGACTGTACTAGTCTGCCAGGAGGCAGCAGGAGGGCACTCAGGGCATTCTTGGCTTAGGAGCCCTGTTATCAACAGGGGTTCAGACTTTCACAATGTCCAAAGTCCCTGTGTCTCCTCAGAGGCGGCTGAGAGGCTGAACACAGGATGGAGCTGGAGAAGGAACGGCTGGACTCTGGACATCAAACCCATGTGGTGGGAACAGTGTTAGGTCTCATCTTAGCCCAGCCAGCCCTTGACATAATCTATGGGGTGGGATGGGCTGGAGCCAGGAAGGTTTCGTAGTTAAGTGCTCTAAGTCAAGCAAGCCTCTCTGTGACCCTAAAGTACAGAGCAAGGAGCCCACTTACTGAGAAGTAGCTTGCTGACAAAGCAAAGAAAACCTACGTGCCAGTCCTAGCTCAGAGCCTTGGCACTGTATGACCTTGGTCCATACTTGCCTTCTCTGGGCTTTTATGCTTATGTGCAGTGGTAGAGGAAACACTTGAGAGTGTTGGGAAGGGGGTACTTTGTCTACAGACACTGTGAAGTGGCCTTAAGCTCCTGCCTCTGAAGTCCTCCCCAATCCCCAGGCTACTCAAAAGTTCTAGGTCCAACATGCAACCCATACCTACCAATAGGATATCAGCAACTACCGCCCAGTTGCAAGACAGAAGGAGCTCCCCGAGGGCCAGGAACATCTGTGGACAGAGGATGGCCTGGATGAAACTGTCCCCACCTCAGGCACCCATCCCTCCCACAGTTCCTCAGTTGCACAGAGAGGAAACTGAGGCTTCCCTGAGGAAGGCACTGTGGAGATTGGTGGGTAGATGGGGTCTGGAATGGCAGGCCCCAGGACAGATTGGCAGGTTGCCACTGAGATCTCAAGATAAGCAACAGTCCCCTGGTTTCAGAACTCTGGTTCATAGCCCCCAAGACCCAGCCCTTAGGGGTCACCCAGGGAGCCTCAGAAGGAAGAGGCAGCAGGAATGCCAGAGCACTTCCACATGTGTGGCCTTGGGACAGAAAGGCCAAGGTCTCAGCTGGCCCACCTTCTGTGCGTTTTCTCCTGACGACTGCACGGTACCCAAAAGGCTCCCAGGAACCTCTAGACCGGCTTCTCTCAAACACCTCTCCCAACCTCATCCCCCCACCCCCACTCCAGCCTCCAGCAATCGGTGGCATAGCCATTGTGCAAACAAAGTTAATTCCTAGCCAAGGCCAAGACTTTTCTCAGGTCATAGCTGACCCAGGGCAAAGCCAACCCGAAACTCAAGGCTTCAAGCCCGTTCCAGTGTCCACCCCCACCCCCCCCCCCCCCACCCCACCCCTGCCTTGCTCCCAATGTCCTCTATTCCTGGCTGGCTGTCTCACCCAGCCCTCTGTACCGTGCTACCTGGTGCCAGCGGATTAGGACAATCCTCATTCCCCTCACTCAAGAAGAGCTTAATGAAGCAACCGGAGAAAGAGGAGGAAAGGCTCCCTTCTCTCAGCTCTGGAGAGCTTATTGCCAGGGTGGAATTAGTCATTCCTGGAGTCACGGGGCTATGCCCAAGGCAGCACAGGCTTGGGAACTCAAAGCTTCCTATCCCAAAGGCAGAGAAATGAGAAAAATAGCACCAGAAAGAACAGCACCTACTGTATGCCAGGCATTGCCACTGTTACCCCTCTTGGGTCAGGTAATTCGATAGGGTTATCATCATACTGTGTCACAGACCAGGGCACCCAGGCCCAAGGGCCATCTTCCAGAGAGGCTCTCTCCTCCATATCTGGCCTGCACATAGTGAAATCAGGAAGGCCTTTGGCCTGAAGAACTCCCAGGGACCTCCAGTGACTTCTGTGCTTTAAAGGCCAGAATCAGATGGGGAATCAGATGGGGAGGGAGTCCTGGACAGAAGGGACCCTGGCAGAGACATAGGGGCAGTCAGATGAGCTAGAAAGAGCTGCAGGAGCCCACTAGGCAAAAGCTTTACAAACAGTGCCCGGCAGAGAACCCTGTGAGCAGCGGCAAGAGGCTGGCATGCGCCGCCACGCTGGGTGGGCCGGAGAGTGAGCCAATCTGGTGAAGAAGAGAATAGACACTAAGCGGCCTCTGTGAGCTCTCCACCCAACCTGGCTTCTTGTGGCTGCTGCTTCTGGCCCTTCATGTCCCAAGTACCAAGGAGGCCCTTGAGGTCAGGGTGGGTCTCCTTCTAGGCCTAGGAACAAGGGCTGGGAACCCACAGTAGTGGGAAGCAGGAAGTCACTGGTGGGCAGGATGAGGGTGAGGCCCAAGCAGGCCGAAGCCCTGCATTCCATTTTGACAGGGCCTGTCTACCCAGATTCTGGAGCACATGAAGGCATGGCCCAGCGCACCTGTCCTCGCCGTGGTAGCCTGCTTTGGTGCTCATCTACCGCGGCCAGAAGCCTCTTTCACCACGTCCTTCAGCCTGCCTCTGAGTCCTCTCTTCCTCCACACAGACTGGGTACCCACGGCTACAGGGACATGCTCTCCTGAGCGGCGTCACACACCCACCCCGCCCTCCCCACACCCACAGGACACACTGAAATATACTTTCCCTTCTTCCAGCTGGACGAGGGTGGATCCTGGTCCCAAAATAGAGCCCCTCAGAGGGAAGCTGCCGCCCCAACGGGGCCTTTCAAGATGATCAAGCTGCCTCGGGGTGCCAGGCTTCCTCAGACACACCTGGAAATAGGCACCACGCCACCAAATCCATCACTCTACTTGCGGCTTTGGGGGCAGGGGGCCATGGAGACAGCCTGCCTTCTAATCCCATAATTACAGGCTCTTGAGTAGTGAAAGCCCAACCTTATGGGCTCAAGGAGTGGCATTGCCACAAAGGGTGGGACACCTGCTGGGGACCTTGGGAAGGTCCTGCACACTTGCCTCTGGGCCTTGGTTCCTTCTCTGCACAGGGATGTGGGGGAACCTAGACAGATATATGGTGCTTCTGCAGCTGGAAACCTGGTCACACACAGTTGTGGCCTCCACAGGCAGGTACAGCCAGTCCTCACTCAGTGACCATATGATATAGTCAGACTTGGCTTCAAATAAAGACCAAACAATCAGAGCCAGCCATGGTGGTGCTTGCCTGTAACCTCAGCCATGCCTATAACCTTAGCACATGCCTGTAAACTAAAGCACATGCTTGTAACCTCAGCCATGCCTGTAAACTTAAGCACATGCCTGTAACCTCAGCCATGGTGGTGCATATCTGGAACTTTGGCCATGGTGATGTGTGCCTGTTACCTTAGCACATGTCTGCAACTTCAGCCATGGTGGCACATGTCTATAAACATATTACAGGCCACCCTGGGCTATCTAGTGAGATCCTGTCAAAAGAAAGAAAGAAGGAAGGAAGGAAAGAAGGAAGGAAGGAAGGAAGGAGAAAGAAAGAGAGAGAAAGAAAGGAAGGAAGGAAGAAAGGAAGGAAGGAAGGAAAAAGAAGAAAGAAAGAAAAGAAAGAGAGAAAGAAAGAAAGAAAGGAAGAAAGAAAGAAAGAAAGAAGAAAGAAAGGAAAGGAAGAAAGAACAGAGAAAGAAAGGAAAGAAAGAACAGAGAAAGAAAGGAAGGAAGGAAAAAGAAGAAAGAAAGAAAGAAAGAAAGCGAGAGAGAGAAAGAGAGAGAAAGAAAGAAAGGAAGAAAGGAAGGAAGGAAAAAGAAGAAAGAAA